ACCTTTCTTGAGTGTTGAGAGTTGAGTATATCTTCACTTTCCCGAGAATGGCAAGTGAAGCTTAAGTGTTGAGAGTTAAGAATTGAAAACAAGTGATTGCGAGGAAGTGTTATTTTTCATTAACCCTTCTTGCTTATTTTATTCACAACGATTGTTCGCGAAGAACTCATCGAATTACAGTGCGATATGCAAAAACTTCAATATTTATTTGATGAATTGAAGGACTTTGTGTGAAAAGCATTAAGGAAATAGATGGCCCAACAATATCATGTTGTGACGGAGAACCTTCGTATTCAGATGAGATTTCAGCTCCCGCAGAGGTCAAGCATCCCATCAAAGAAGATACAAAAAAGAAGAGGAAGTTGGCCACCAAGATGAGCCATGTGTAGTTGCAAAATCTTTTATTCAGTGACAATATTTTGCATGATCCAGGAGGAAGTGTCGTTCCGGTCAAGAGTTACATTAATGATAAAGGCAGCGAGCCAGAAAAATATGGTATAATACCTCGAAAACCTTTGCACTTAATTTGTAATTACGAACTCCTACTTATTCGGGCCTTAAGGCTGCTTAAACCCTTTAAATATTTCATAATTTTAATTTTTGGATAAATATCGTATTTTGTATTTTAAATTTTGTATTTTTATTTAATTTAAATAATTCTTAAAATTTATCATTTTATTTCGTTCTAGAAAATTATATTTTGCTGTTATTTAAAAAAAATAATTTTAGGACAAAGCAGAGAAAATACAGAAATCCTGCGGGAAAGGGTCTTGCCTGCGTGTGCGTGTGCACGGCTAGCACGGGACGTGCATACTGTGCACACGTCCCGTCCACGCATGTGCAAAGAGCGCAATCCACACATGTCTCATCGCGCGAAGACTGGCACGGACGACTTGGGCAGCGTGCAGCTGCCTCGAGTAGTGTGCATTGCCCATAGTCGACGTGTGCTGCTGGCTTTGCGACATGCTGCTGGCTTTGGCGACGTACTACCGTCACTTGGCGACGTGTCGCTGTTGATTGGGTGGCGTGCCTCCATGTTTTGCACCGCTGTCACGTCATGTCGTCTGTCCATCAATCACATCTGTCAATCATCACATCACTTCTTTTTCTATTGACTTTCTCTCTCCTCACAAGTTTTTGCCACTTGGTGCAAATCCGACGATCTCTACTTTGTATAAATAGGGAACCCCCCTTCACCATTTCCTCATTACTTCCATTCCAATCTTCTATCCTACATGAGCTTAGAGAGAGAGAGAGGAGAAAAAGAAGAAAATGTGTAGGAAATTTTGAGGTTTCAGTACGGAATTTATTATTTACTTTTAAACATCTTAAGGAGCATTTCTAGAAAAAATTTATGAAATTTCAATTTATGATTTGCATGATTAAATTTTAATTTCTAAATAAGTAAATTTTATGTGATAATGCATATTTTATGATCATATATGAATTTATTAATTTACATGTGATTTAAAATAATTTAATGCTTGAAATTAATACTAATATGTGATGCAATTGATGGTGAAAAAGTGATTATGTGTAAAATGGCGTATAGACATGAGAAACATGTACCAATATTGACATACATAATTCATAAAGTATTTCGTTAGGCTTTTTATCTCTGAGAGATTTTTATTTCTTTCCCATCTGATCTGAAAATATGTGAGAGGACAACTCCCTATAGATGACGACATACCCTCTAACAAGAGTGGTGACGCAAAATTACTTTATGGACCACCTTTGGTGAAGTATGACCATGGTTATAATCTTACTGTAGGACCACGATGGCTCGCATGGTCATGGTCATAGATCATGTCACAGTTTGGCAAGGTGCAAATGTGTTGTTGGTTTGACAAGCCGCAAATTTACTGTCATAACTGAAGTAGTCATTCCATATAGGTAGTTGAAAATCCATACTGCCCTCAGTAGATGAAAATCGGAACGACTTCGTGAAAAATGATACGAAAAACTATGCATGTCCTGATTTATTTGATTTTCTCTATTATCAATATGACCGATTTGATTGATATGACCATATATGATGGATTTGATGTTTTTTTTAATAAATAAATTATTTTTATAATTTGATAAAGGACCTTGACGTGACTCTTGATGGTTTAATGATATAATTAATCACTTTTAAAATCTTATTATATTATTTAAATATTATTTTCGTTACTGAGTATATAGAACTCACCTATTTTCATACCCTCTCCAGATGAGGAGGATAGTGAAGAACCGATCGTTGACCTACCCCTTGAAGTCTTTGAGGATCCCGTGGATCCATAAATCTTTTTGAGTGCATGACTTGTCCCACACTCTAATGAGTTTTTTAACATAATGATAGAAGTGACTTTTTTGTATTTTAATATTTTTTACTTTGTTTCCATTTCTAGCATCAGTTATATATGTAATTGGAACTTATATGTTTTGTAAGGGATTTGTAATAAATTATTCTGCTGCATACAATTAACTATTATACACTCGTAATTTATTTTGTATTTGGCACCCTTATGCGTTAATTAGCCTTTGGGATGTCACATATAGTGAGCTTTCTATTGTTATCACTAATCCGTCTCCTTTTGGTGAAGGTCAAGATTCGAGGACGGATCTCACTTTTTGCATTGATTTCTCACTTGATGTACTTCTAATAGTTGTGATGAGTTTTATTAAATAAGGAAAACCTATTTGTAGATTGTCCCTCATTAAGATTGATTGTCACTTTGATTTTTTTTCTAAATATTTAAATAAAAAAATTATAAGACATGCTTTAGTACTAATTATTGACCCAAAAGTTAAAAGACATGCTTTAGAGGAACATGAATTAGATTTCTTTAAAATTTTAACTATTTGTCATCTCCAACCTAAAAGCTAAGAAAATAGTCTAATGATCAAAGCAACATGACAAGAAGTAAATGCTCAACAAAATCAATGAGGAGATAGTTTAACATTTTCATATTAATTGTACAAAAAATTGATGATGGAAGAAATGAGTATTGAATGCACTTTAATAAATATGGATTCAAGAGTTGTAAATTAAAGAAAAAGGGAAAAGAGAGAACAAATAAGGATTTTAAAGAGGTTCAACCTCAATCTTGTGCCTGTATCTTTTATTCAAGTTAATTATTTGAATATTTCGACTTTTTTTCAATTTTCTCTTACAAGTGCATTTTTTTTATACCAAGCTCTATTATTTAAATTTTTTTTCTTAAATACCATAGTTAAATATAATTTATCACACTTTTTTTGCAAACCAAAGTAATTATATTACAAAACTTTTAAGTAAGCTCTCAATGAAAGTTGATTTATAAGATGAAGCTCAAGGGGATTTGAAATTTTCTCAAGAAAAGATAAAAGGATATCGAAGCAATTTATTTTTTGATTTTGCTCGCAAATCATATCTAAATTTGTTGGGTATGTGAAATATATAATACCACTCGTAAATAGATGTTGAAAAGAGAAAGATTTCAAATCTATATATTAAATGCATTCTCATAAATGCTTTCTACACTTTGCAGTTTTCGTATAATATGAAGAATTCTTCACGTTGTATGAGATGTCTTGATACCAAACAGTCCACTAACTTCCAATAGAGCAAACATAAAGAGAATATATACATAGCAGCGAAATTATATATTTCAATACAAAATACAAAAGTTGTATTGTGAGGCCAGCAGGCTATCTATATTTACTTACAAATACAGAGAAAACCTATATACAAAAATATACTAGCCTCTAAAAGTTCAACAAATTACATAATCTGCTCCCATAACAAATCTTCGTGGAAGGAATCTAGGTAAGACTAATCAACATACTCATCAGAATCTGCATTTTTGGGTGGGTTGGATTTAGGTGAGTTCCATTATTCAGTAAAATAAGCAATATTAAAGTCGCACAAATATGATTTGAAAATATTTCCTTAATGTAAAGTTAAATAAAAATAGTGTTATATCCAATGTCAATAAACCACAATTCCCACACTATATAATTTTCATTATAACTATACAATTGCCAATAGGTGTTCAAAATTATATTTGATGGGTTTACATAACTCACACACATACACTGATTACAATCCTACGCATGCAGCTACTTACACTATTTACAAGGAGAGCACTAGGTCACCATCTAGTTAAGGGTGGGAGCGAAATCAATCAGTAATAGTACAATGACGTAAAAGAATACATACAATCACTCAGTACTCTGCGATTGTCATCTCATAATTTTTACTCCGGTCACCATCATTGATATCCTTAAGCCCCAGGACCATGAATAACAATCAATTCAGAATTCTTAAACCACTGAACTCGGTCCCAAAAATAGAACCCAATACCACATCAAAAGTCTGATGGCTCCACTGTTAACCTCAATATCTCTCCAAAGAAATCAATAAACCATATTTAACTAACTCTTTGTTATTTAAAACTTAAACTATTTAATATTTTTCTTAATTTTTTTATAAATTTTATATTAATTTTCCCCATTTATTTACTGAAAGTTTGAATTCTTATTGATTATTTATTTAGATTTTTAAGTAGATTTTATTATTTACTAATTTTATTTTTTTCATTTTTAATTTTAATGTTTTAATTATTTTGTTGTTTATTTTTTTTTTTTGTCTTTTAGTTTGTTTATTTTAGATCAATTTTACATTTCCAATCCCTTACAATTTCTATATTATACCAATCATTCCAATTTTCATTTCAAGTTATACCTTTTAAATTCTCCAATTATATTAATTTTAAAATTTCTTTCTAAAAGGTCCAATCTATCCAATTTGTACAACCTGAGAGAAAAAATCTCTCTTGCTGGACCATGGCCCAGTGGGCTTCCGGCTATTACACAAGACAACTATCCCAGGGGCATGAGCTGAT